ATGTAGAAGAAGCAATCGTCGCATGTGAAATGTTTAAGTATATGTAGTGACATAAAAATCCATATGGGTAATGGGTAGTTTTTTGTGGTGATCTCCATTTTGTATATGTATTCACCTACAACATGCAGACAGTTTTGACATGCTTTTGTTGTGATTACCAGTTTGTATATCTAGTGACTTATGAAAACGAGTCATTCATGGCTTCTTTCGTACCAGCTACCTAATCCAATATTTTAGTGATGATGAAAATTCTAGCCATGAAGTAATTAAAGGAAATCCAACCAATTAATACACTAAGAAAATAAAATTTGAAAACAAATAAGATAAAAATCATGTAATGCAACAAAAATGGTGACGACATTCAAGTGCACGTCAATTGAAGTAGCATTCAATTTCAAAACAAGGTAAAAAACAAATGTCATTCAATTTCAAAACAAGGTAAAAAACAAATGTCATTCAATTTCAAAACAAAAACAAAAACACATCATTCAAGTGCATGTGTTACCCAAATGTGTCCGGTTCCTACATATTTACCTGTTGTGTCCAGACCCCCATCATCGGCCACATTTTCGTGTGCTGGTCGACCTTTTAGTTCTTTGACCGTTTATGTTGTGTAGGAGGGCAACCTAGTGCTCGACGTATATTTGGGAGCAACACTTCGATAGAACGAATGGCATGAGGGACAACCCAATCTGACTCCATTTCGATGGGGCAAAGTACTTCTGTGTATGCAGCTTGCCAAAACTCTGTGGCGTATACAAGAAGCACATGTCATATAGTGATTTTTCGATTGCACAAGCAGCTCGAGAAGCATGTGCACACGGAATTTGCCGCATCTGAAACTCTCGGCATGAGCATGTGTTACCTATAAGGTTGACAATATACGTTTCTATACCTACACCAACCTCGAAAACAAATTCATCCAAATTTCGTACTTGTAAGGTCGCACCGGCGTCAAACGATTTTCTCAATTCCTTCTCCATTTTTGGTGTTAAGACACTATAACAATTGGTAGATGCGTTTCTCCTCTCGAAGAACCATTGTTGCATTAACGACGTAATGTTTTCGACCAACGAGGTTATAGGAAAACTTTGTTGTCACCTGAGAACTGCGTTTAGTAACTCCGCACTATTATTAGTCATGGCATTGTACCGATTGCCAATGAAATTTGCACGTGACCAAGTGAAGAAACCAGCATGTTCCAAATAAGAAGCCACAACTGGTCAAATTGTTCTAATTTGTGTCATGAATTGCTCGAATGTCAAAAGACGGTATGCTAGCGCTGCACGCTTGAACAAAAAAATGACATTGCTACTACTGTACCTAGCAATAAGATTTTTCTCGATATGCCATATGCAAGCACCGTGGTGAGAAAGCGGGAATAACCTCGAAATGGCCCGCGTAATGCTCTTGTGCCTGTCCAATACAAATACTAGTTGATTTGAGTCATCAATAATATCTTTCAACTTCTTGAAGAACCAATACCACGATGCATTTGTTTCCCCATCGACAACCCCCCAAACAATAGGATATATTTGCATGTTGGCATCTTGCGCTGCAGCTACTAGTAGTGCTCCCTTATACTTGCCCTTCCAATGAATTCCATCAACACAAATTACTGGCCTCATGTACTCTCAAAAACCACGTATACTCGACCCAAATGCTAAGAAGAAGTACAAGAACCTGTTGTTGATATCGAGATCAATGTGTGCGACGGTTCTTGGGTTTCTAGTAGTTAGCTTATGACAGTATGACGGCAATTTCTGAAAACTTTTTTTAGGTAAACCACGAAGAATTTGAAGGCCCTTCTCCTTACCCCTCCACGCTTTATTATAGCTAATCCGTGTACCAAACTCATGTTCCATATCGCCGATAATACCGGCAGGAACGTATGGTTGGTTTGCATCATTCAATCGTTGCATTATGTGATGCCCAATTAGTGCACTCGTTGCATGAATTTGTGAATTCCGCTCAACGTCTAAAGGACATGTGTGCTTAGGTATGTACTTTCGAATCTTAAATATATCTGAAGTTTTTATCTTCGAAGCTCGCACAAGTCAATGGCACGTGCTATCGACGCAACACACAGTAAGAGATCTAGGATTCGACTTTTTAACCTTGAAATGAAACTTCTCTGTCAAAGCCTTCAGTCGAAGCTTTGTGTGTAGCTATTTCTTGCTAAAGAAGATCTGATTCTCCTCAATGTCGGCTTCATCCATGGACTGAATTTCATTTCCAGTATACGAATTCCCTTCGCCCAAACTTACATCCATATTATGAATCATTTGTGACTCTTGTAGTTCGCTCACACCAACTTCGTCACGTCCACAAAATGTATCTTCTATGGGTGAGAAACGATCTACTCCAACACACACTTCATGCTCTCCAGCATCATAT